TCTTTCTTGAGTCTTTTGGAACTCCATTTGCCTTTAGGAGTCCTCAATTATATAGGACATCCCTAATTAATGAATTTAAGGCTTTCTGTTTTTTTGTCCTCTGGACAATGCTTTGCAACGAATCAAAGGTATTAAATGTTGGATTCTAACTTGTCCCTTGATTTCCATCAATTTTCTTAGCTAAAAAAGTTTAGCTAGATCTCATGAGCTATCTTTCAAAAATTAAATTAAAAAATAATAAAGTATCGTCTAACTTCCATTCTCTAATTTGTGCTAATTGATGGAGTATCGTTTTTCATGATGAAAGTACTTTCAACTAACAACTGATAGCAAAAGGAGAAGAGAACTTGTAATGAGTTTCCTAATTCTTTCAGGTGGTTTAACAGCTCAAGTCATAGAATCCCGACAGTTTTAGTGGTGTCAGTTATAAGAAAACAATGTTCAACATGTTGACTTTCTCTTTCTTTTTTGTACTAGAAAGCTACATTTTGCTGAGGAAGAAGAAAGACATGAAACAAGAAGATGATAAACAATCCTCATAACAAAAGTTTAGAAGGACAGATAATAGGAGACATTATAACCTCCCAAAGCAAAAGATACATATAAAGATGATAAGCAATCCTTTCGTATAATGCTCAACAAAAAAAGATATCTCAGCAGGCCCCATAATCAACCGAAGCGAACTAGCAAAGCAGCCCGGTCACTCTAGAAATTATAATGCATGAGTAGAGCAAAATGCAGAAGTCATAAAAATATAGCATTTCGCACATCTCAAATGAAACATACGCCAATAAAGCTAAGAGTATTGCCATCCGACCAAACCCACTATTATACCTCAACCTCAAAGGCTGTAAATTCCCGCGTATCCTTGTCTTCATGTTCACACAAATAACTCATTTGACGAAGATTCAGCTATCCTACGAGAAAAGCTAAGAAAAGGTTTCGCGAAGGAATAACTCTGGAACTCGGACATGAAACAGCAAATTTACAAGGGAGAAATGTGACAGTCTACATTATCCACACAAAATGGGGAGTCCAGTAATTCAATTTTCATCGCTTGAATTAAAACGGAATGGTTAGTCTAATCAGTTACCAGCCGACAGGTTCAAACTAACATTCGCCCAGTCTGATTCTATTTCGTCTTCTCGCTCCCCTAGCAGACTCTACCGAACAATAAGAGTCTAAATCACCCAACAGTAAAAAATGAAACCAATGCAAAGAATGATCAAATTTCTTCAATTGACAGATAATTACCGAGTTTAATATAACTCAAATGAATACAGTGGAAATAGATATAGAAACCTGAGTAGTGCCCGCGGTGCGGTGGGAGGGATTAGAAGAGTGGAACTGGCGAGTGAAAGGGCGAGATAGTAACTGAGCGGAGGCTGCATTACTCTGTGCAACTCTATTGATAATCTGAGCCCGAGACAAGAAATTTTGAGCATTTGACTTTGCTGAAGTAGAAGGGAGGCCGGATAACACCTGCTCACGGCGACCGAGTGCGGAGTGAGAATGATAGAGAGATTTGTGAGAGGTCCTAGACCCGCTGATGGCAGCAAAAGCGGGTTTGGTTAGCCTTAAATTTCTTCGAGTTGCCATCAACGGCGAGAGCGAGGCTGCGTAGCGCGTACTGTGTAGCGTAACGATCAAGGATTATTCTCCTGAAATATCACATTCAGGTTCTGAATGAAATATTGTCTGAAAACTTGGGGATGGGGCAAAAGGAAGCTGGTAGAATGTCCACGGTGCGATTTCTTCTGGAAAAATAACAGGTAAAACAAAAGACTTTATAAAAATATTAGTATTAAAATACAATAAAAGAAGCATTAAAATTTAAAGACGTTATAATTAAAAAAAATTTAATTTAACATTAATATTCTTATAATATCCTTATTTATCATTCTTTCTATTAATTATTGCTAATTTAACATTGATTCTTTAAAAAATTATTAAAATTAAAGTGATAAGTAGATATATAAAATTATTTTATATTCGGTTTATCTCATGTTCACAATAAGAGATCAATTTCATAACTTGTGTATGCAAGGAAAAATTAATATAGTCCTTTTAGTTTGAATTTAGAGGCTCTTTAATCATTATTTTACAACAACATTTTATTTTATAAAATTATGAATATCAATAAATTTAATTAAATATAGTTTAGAATCTTACTTTTAGAGCATAACATATTTATTCTTTAACCTAAAATGTTAAAATTTTTCATTAAAAATTATTTTAAAAAAATCTTTGGATTAACTAATTAATAAGACAGCTTCACTTTGGATGATATAGGAGACGATTTAAATCAAATATCTATTCAATCCACTTTAAAATTTTAATATATGTCAAACCTAAACTTCATTTTATCTGATATTATTATAGTATTTTTACTTAAATTGGTTTTTTTTGTAAATGTTGTTATCTCTTTTATTTCAATCATTTTTTTCAACAAATAACTGGGCAACTAACGGATTAAATCTAATTTATGATAAAAAGACGAGCCATCTCTCACTTTACGCGATTCTTTAGCTGTTGTGTGTCAGAAATTTGAAGGACAAAGGCCAAAGAAACATGAATGACGAGCATACTTCACATTTCTTTTTTTAAATATTTCCATTTGCAACTGCATTCAATTATTTATTTGGCCATTAATGGCATTCGGTGATTCAAATCCTATTATTTTATACCCAACCAGTGACCGATGGATTGGCGGTTCGACACAGCCCGAACGTGAGATGCACTTGCCACACGATCTCCGATATTCCCCGGCGTCTCTTTTTCCCTCCGCCACTATTTAAGTTGACGTAAAAGATGTTTTTTATTGTTACTGTCAAAAGATAATCAGAGTTTTTTTATTCTTAAAATATTATTTCAAAAAAAATTTCATTATAAACTCATAAATGATATAATGCACCCTAAACACACCAAAGCCCAGTAATACATCCCGTAACATTAATAAATTGTTAACCCAGCCAATTAAAAGTATCTTGCTTGCCTAAAAATATACATCTAATGGTTCATAATAGGTCACAGGAACTTAAAAACTGAACAAGCTCCTTTAAAACTTTTTCATGGCCATTTGTTTAAGCTTTTTATGGAACAAAAAAAATCACTTGATCTTAAAAATCCTGTTCAAATATTAGACCCATTCGTTTAAGCTTGAAATTTAGATAATTTGGAGATTTTATAAAAAAATTATTTTATCCAAAGTAAAAATTATTTTATTTCTTTTTCTTATAGTATAAAAAGTGATTATTGTATAACAATTTCCAGATTTTATTTTTTTTTAATTTTCGTTCTTTAAAAAATTATTTGTTATCTAATTAGTTTTAAAATTGTATAATATATTTTGTATTTTTGTATTTTTATGACATTTCTTACATGTAATGCATTTGTTTGTTTTTAAAAGTTATTCAAATTAGCTTCTAAAATAACGAGTAATCCACCATTTCTTTCCAAAATTTTGATTTTTTTAGGATCAAAGTTAAATTATTAATCGCAAATCCATTACAATTCCTAAATAAAGGGCCCGTTTGCTCAATTTTTTTGGGATAAATTGGATTTTTGGTTGAAAAAATTCTTGTGCTCAAAAAAAAATAAATCAATTTTGTAAAAATTTAAGAGTATGATCAATTTATATCGATATATAAAAAATTTATCTTTAAAAAATTACTAGGGGTCTATGATTGATGTACATAATATATCATTGATAAATATAATAAATTGATCATAATATAAAATATAATAAATATTGACCTATTTCTTTGATTTGATCTTATAACATGGATTATATTTATAAAAGTCTCCCTTTTTAAAGTGATTTTTAGAAATTTGTGGACTATAATAATGATTTATTATTTACTTGTTTTTAAATTTTATGATATCCCATATATGGTTTGTTGTTGTGATATTTTCTCTTGATATTGTATTTTATTCTTTTTTTAAAATTATTTAAATTAAATTATCAGAATAACTAGAAATTTTTTTTATTTCCTTATTATTTTTATGATTTTAAACAAATATGATGAAAATTTTGAGAAATGAATTTTTTTAAAAAAAGCTTTCATTAAAAAAAAAACTAAACAAATGGGCCTTTTGAAAAATTACTCAGTTCTACTTCAAGTTTCTCAACTCACCATGAATTCACCCCACTTAAATTTCATGATCAAATAAATTAGTTTTAATTATTAAAGCTACTTAACTTAATAGTCAATAATAACCTTTGGTTCTAATTTATAAAATATTTTTAGACAAAATCATTCATATATATAAAATTTACTATTAAATATACTTTGTATCCTTATTTTTTTTTCAAATAAAAATATAGACCTTCAAAATTACCTTTTATTTAATACTTTATTTATAAAAAATATTAAAAATAATATAATAAATATAATAATATTAAACAAGTATCATAAATTAAATTTATTTTTATTAAAATGTTTTATATTTTTGAAATGCTGAATCTCTGTAAAAATATCGGGCTCCAGCAATAGTGTAAAAAATTGTTCAAAAATATGCTACAAGCCTTTCCATTTTCATCCTTTCCATGATGAGCACAATATTTAAAAAAAAAAAAATGATTAGCATATGCGCCTCTCAGACCAAATGATAATGCAGTGATGGAGATTATTTAAATTGGACTTTACGTTCCCCAGTGGAGCCTCCCATTTTGGACCATGGACATCAATATGATGGGGACGGAAGTCAATTGATTGCCCTTTCCCGCAAAGTTCACATTTTATATTCAATACTTTATATTTAATACCATTATTGCTCCACATTCTCTTCACCTGATACCAGACTTGGTCATTGATTAACACCCAATTAGATATACCTTACCAACATCTTTTAAAAAATAAACTTCTAACTCTATCTCACTTTTTGATACTCGGTTTTGGCTCAACTAATATTTATGCTTATTTTATTCTAATTCTTACTCTGGCCTTAAAAACTAATCCCTAAAGATGAGGGACTGCGCCCCCCCCCCCCCCCGCCCCTTTTTTTGGCTCGTAATTATCAATCAAATCCCTCTTAAACTTGAATTTTGGTATTCCAAGTTCTAAAATCAAACTGACTGTAAGGGGAGTGGCGTGGTCAGAACGAAGAAGCGAACGACTGGTATTATGATGTCGCATCCCAAATTTCCAGCAGCAAACGACTTCATAATCATAACTCTCATCGTGGCAAGACCTTTTCAGTCGACGAGGCGCCCTAGCCCTTGTTGTTGGTAATCCAAGGCACCCCGCCGGCTCCGATTTCTTTCTCTCCTATCTCTAGTCAATTCTTGGATTCTGTCTTCGCGAAGCAAAATTTTCGATTCTGAGTGCGAGATCTGCGAAATTCAAGCCTTAATTTCTCCAGTTCAAGGTCAGATTCCTCACTCTTCACTTATGCTCGCCTCAGGGTTCTTGCCGATGTTTCACTTCTGTCTGAAATCGTTACTCTTCGTTCGATAGTTGATTTATTGTGCTGCGCTTTGTGCAGATCTAGCCGAATCTCGAAGACTACTCTGTGATTCGAAGCTCTGTTCTCCGAAATCTGCTTCAGGTTCTTAGTTTCTGTATGCTTGAAGATTTTTTGTTGTCTGTGCCGGAGATCGGTTTGAAATCTATTTGGGATTTGAACGCTTGCACGTATTTTTGCAGATCTGGGCTTGATTGCATTTTCCGCTCTGGATTTGTGTACCGGAAATGTCAATACTGCAGAAAAGCGATTCGGTTCAAATCAGGGAGGTTTGGAAAGACAATCTTGAAGAAGAGTTTGCATTGATCCGTGAAATTGTTGACGAATATAATTACATCGCCATGGACACGGAGTTCCCCGGAGTCGTTCTTCGCCCGGTGGGTAATTTTAAAAACATCAATGATTATAACTATCAAACACTGAAGGACAACGTTGATATGTTGAAGTTGATCCAATTGGGACTCACCTTGTCCGATGAGCATGGAAACCTTCCTACTTGCGGAGCTGACAAATATTGCATTTGGCAATTTAACTTTCGTGAGTTTAATGTCAGCGAAGACATCTTTGCAAGTGACTCAGTTGAATTACTGCGCCAATGCGGAATTGATTTTAAGAAGAACAATGAAAATGGCATTGACATGAACCGATTTGGGGAGCTTCTGATGTCTTCAGGGGTGGTGCTGAACAATGAAGTCCATTGGGTCACATTTCATAGTGGGTACGATTTTGGTTACCTCCTTAAGTTATTGACATGCCGTAGCTTGCCTGATACACAGTCGGGATTCTTTACTTTGATCAACATGTACTTCCCTACGGTGTATGATATCAAGCATCTGATGAAGTTCTGCAACAACCTCCATGGTGGATTGAACAAGCTTGCAGAATTGCTGGAAGTTGAGAGGATTGGTGCTTGCCATCAAGCCGGGTCCGATAGCTTACTCACGTCTTGTACATTTAGAAAGTTAAGGGATGTGTTCTTCAATGGTTCCGCGGAGAAGTATTCTGGCGTCTTGTACGGGTTAGGTGTCGAAAATGGACAGGCTAATTGAAACAATATAATTGGTTGTAGAGTAACAAGTGTGACCTTTTTGCTTGTGTACGCCCCTGCCAAAAAAGTCGTCGTTTTCTTGTAACATTTCGTCTTTGCTTGATCTGCCACTGAAACAACCTTCGTGGTCTTGTAGCTTGGGTTCTCTGTAAATCACTTCCGTTAGTGTTTCAATAATAACTTACGATGATTCCGCAGCCATTTTTTAAGATCATGCTGCGTGTTTCGCGCCTGGTACTTCTTGTAGTTTGAGGAATTGATCAATTTTTTCCTTTAAATGAACCCCGTGGTTTTCTGAACTCCTTGATGGTCACTCGGTTAAGGACTAATGTCCATAATGCCAATAGTTTGTCTCCTTCTATGTGTGTGTGTTATTTTTAATTACCTCACCAAAATTAGAGAAAGGGGTTTTAGTTATTATGTTGTCTGGAAAAAAAAAAATTCTAGTTTATTTTTTATTAAGAGCAACGATTTTTAAAATATTTTTCTCATGTATAACATTTTATCCTATTTTTTGTCACTTGTAAATTATATATCAAATCTTTGCTAATTCACCGAATCTTTATTGGTAGGAAAGTGCTTCTTGTATAAGTTGATCATTCAACTCTAGCAAGATAGATGGAGAGCTCAGAACATAGGTGATGTTATGAAAATATAAATCATCAATCTAAAGTTCTCCTTAAGTTCAATATTAACAAGTACTTTTAATTGTACTATATTTTCGATGAGTTAATTAATTATTTTTAAAATTACACACTCTTTTCATGAGTGTTCTCATTTCATAAGTTATCTCAATTAGAAACATTATTAGTTATACTCCTTAATTAAGGATGTTTTTAAAATAGTTATGTTAATTGCACCTTAAGAGATTTAATATATCTTATATTTTTTAATATTTTACTTCAAAAAATGTCTCGTGTTTTAACATAGGTAGTATGCAATAATAAGTTGTACTGCTCTATTTTCAAATATAAGATAACAATAATCAACTCACACATTTTAAAAAATTTGATTAAACATAATAATTATGTTTTAAATTAAAATATTCAAACTAAATTATCCTCTACAATCAATGAAACAAGATTATCTCTTCAAAATAAATATTTACTTATGAGGGATAATTGAAAAAAAAATGATATATGCTTCTCATAATGTGTAGTTTTACTCAAAAAAAAAAGATACTTGATCGTTTCTCCAATAACAAAAAATCATACAAGACGCGTATTTAGTTTGAGCAAAATCTACATTTTAAATGACTGGTGTTAGTTTAGATGATGAAAATGTGGTGAGGTGGAATACACCGTAAACACATGAAACAAAAGCACATTTGATATTGTATAAAATATAAACCAACTTTGATATTGATATGTCAAAAGATTACAGATAAGCTCATGAAATATCATATTAATATTGCAGTAAGATTGAGAAACATAATGAAAAAAAAATAAAATAACAAGGACAGGGTAAGAAGGAATAGAGACGATGAAGATCCATGCTCTGCGAAGAAAGTGGCCAACTAAGAGAGGCAAATAAAGGGAGATGATTCGCTGTTTCACTGCCTCCATACTCCTTCCAACTCCATCTGTGCATGTCCAGGCTTCTTTTAAGAGGGCCCGTAACTCCTAAACCAATCAATAACAATTCATGGCCCATTGGCTGCAACTCATAATCCTAATCCATGTCATCACTGAGGGTATGTTGGATGACATTGATGGAATGAAAAAAAAGATCACTAATCAAATGAAATGGGTCGGAGCATGATTGAGTGAAATGAAATATAATATTTTATTACTTGGGAGTTGTATTAGAAGAATGAATGATTCTATTTGCTCATTATTTAAGAATTATAATAACATTAATGCACTTGAATAAGTTATAATTGTGTATGTTTGTGGTTTGTAAAACTAAATCGGATCAGTAAATTGGTAGTGCGTCCAACCTGATTTTGTATTTTGTTTGGGTAAGAGTTAACCCGAGTGACTTGGGATTAACTCGCCCAACCCCACGTGTCAGGTGGGTTACATGAAATTTTTTTAAAAAAATATAGAAGCCTCTCGTGCGGTTGCCTCTTGCCTATGACCTGTTCAAAAAGAAAAGAACAAACCTTCTACCTTCTTGTTTGAGAACTCTGTGTGTCTGTCATCTGTGAGTCTTGTCTTTGACCTTATTGACTCTCCATTGGTTTCATCAGCAACTCTGCTTCACCACCAGCTCTACCGCTATTGTCTATTGCTCGCTATCATCTTTGTCTCATGTTGGTGGGGCTATTGCTACTGTCGCAAATCACAAGAGAGAGAGAGGGGCCGAACACTTGAACTAAAGGAAGGGTGAAGAGGGAAATAAAATGAAGAAGGGAATGTCCAGTTATTGCTCAAATTTCAAATCACAAGCTACGATTGTTTTATTAATTTCTTTATTCAAATGATGCAGTTTCGTCATTTCATCCCCTGGTCTCTTTCCATACACATTTTCTCCTCTCTGTCTTTTTTTTTCATCGAAGCATGTTTTGCTTGTCACCATGTAGTACCCATACACCTCACACATTTCAATATCTTATTAATTAAATCTATATATTTACATATATTTTTAATATTTTTAACTTGTAATTTTTTTATATTTTTAATTATATATTTATAACTTATTATTACTTTTGTCACTTTAATTTTATTATTATGTAAAAAAATTTTAACTATTGTTAGAATTATTTTTTTATGTTATATAAGACTTTAAATCTTGAATGTGGATGAATGTATTGATAATTGATGAATATTTATTTAAATTATATTATTTTATTAACCCCTAATTTGACGCTCATTGAATCACTAACCCCTAACTTTTGATGGTTTAATGACTAGTCTAATTTTCGATACTTTATGTACATCCAATTTTGTAAGAGGGAATAAGAAGAGTGATGATAGTTTTAATGATATTATTTATATCGAGTCATTTTATCATCAATCTCTCAAGTTGAGAGGTCCAGAAAAAATGAGTTTTTTTTATACTAATAATGAGTTGAAAGGCCATCCTAATTCCCAAACCATTTCAAGATTTTTTAAAAAAAAAAATTTCCTGAATAGTAGTATAAAATTCCTAAACACTACTCGAGTCATTTATAACATGTCTGAGAGTATCTGATGAAATTGAACAGGCTTTGATGAAATGAAATGAAATGGAGTGAAATGAAATATACTATTGTTTAAGAGTTTTGTCATAAAAATTAACAATTTTATTTAACAATCATTCAAAAAATACTATAAAATAAATAGATTTGAATTAATTATAATTATATTTGTTCAGTTTGAGAGAGGGGGAGGGATGGAGGAAGTGAAAGGGTGAGAAGGATGAAGACAATCTTGTAGTAATATAACTTATAAAATTATTTTAAACTATTCCCTATCCTTAAAAAATTATTCTAGACAGTAATATAAAATTTCTAATCACATGTTCCATTCTATTTCATCTTAAAAGAAACTCTCAAACAAGATATGGAATGTGCGTGAAAGCTAAAGATCCATGAATTTATGTCGGTGTACTAATGTCGATGATGAAGACTTGACGAGTGTCACGATCATATGGTGTTTCTCCCAAAACAGTCTCTCTTAACGATACACTCCCTCCACCGTCAAATATAAAAAATCATTTTTACTGAATTTCATATCAGCGAATCTTTTTTTCCCCGGCCCGCGTGTTAATGAAAGTAATGAACCATGTAGAGTTGAATAAATATTTAATACTTATTTTTTTTAAAAATGCCTGGAATACTCTTTAATTTCCCCCGCAATAAAAGAGTATAGCTCAACTACTTTATCAAGCAAAGGAGGAAAATAAACTTTACGCACCCAACTAGTTCTAACAATATTGTTTCAAAAAGAGCTTTAATAATGTTTATTATTGTTGTTGGTGATCACTGATATGCGTATTAATGTACTTGTTCTTTATACAAGGATGCAAATTGTTTGGATAAATCCATTAAATTTTGGAATGATTTTTGGGTTGATGATAATGGCCCTCTGAGAAACCTCTCTTTTCCAGAAATAGATGAAGCAGAGCAGTAGAGACTAATCTCAGACTCTATCACTGACGCTGGTGAATAGATATGGGATCAGTTTTCTTACTTAGTGCCCGATGTTATCCTTCATAAAATCAACAATGTTATGGTAAATGTCACTGAAGCTAAAAATCCTTCTTGCTTTTGGAATCTTATTGCCAGTGGAGAATTCAAAGTCAAATCAACTTATACTGCCTCCCAATCTTTGGAATGGAATGATACTAAAGAAAAGTAGAAATACATTTAGAAGCTTCCTATTGCACATCGGGTTAGAACTTTCATGTGGCTTCTGTGTAAAGGGCGTCTGTTGACCAACTCAAAAGGCTTTTGCAGGACGATGTCAAGTGGCTAGCAATGCCCCTTCTATCACCATTCTATTGAAAACATCAATCGTGTCCTGAAAGAATGCGCCTTTGTTGCCAAAGTATGGAAGAAGATACTGCCATCTGATTTATATGCAAAATTTTCAAAGGAGACCATTGAGATATGGTTAATCGACTCTTTAAAATCTAAAAGGCTGGATATCTCTTGAAAGATTGGATTTTGCATTACTATTTGGAATCTTTGGGAAGTCAGAAATAAACAGATCTTTGCCGGTACAGCAACCACAGTTGTGGATTTTCTTGTTCTAACTAGAGCCTTAATTGGTTACACAATTAAATCTTTGTCTGCTTACAGATGCCTGATGTAATTTTATTTCCCCCTAGTTGACTTTTGTATAGTTATTTTCAAACGCTGAAATTCATTTTCACTCAAAAAAGAGCCTCGTCACTTCCTACAGGCCTTCGCCCAGTGGATGCCATGTCAACTTATGTGTGCATGTTAAGACGACTAAATCAATCGATTATATGGGAAGTAAAACTATGATTTTGTGAACATATATCAAACTATCTTTTTTAAATATCAAAATCAATTACGAATTTAAAATTATGATTTTTTTAGAAATATCTAAACACTTATTACACATGGCAAAATTAATTGTAAGTCCATAATCATGACCTTCTTAAAAATATTCGAATAGCTCTGCACATGCCAAAATAATTATAAACCCAAAAACATGATTTGTAGAATAGTTTATATAATTTTTAGATGATTTTTTTAAAGTATAATTGAAAAGTAAGTAATAGTAGTTTATGAGATGACTGTAATTTTAGATAGGTATAAGTTTGGATTTTTTTTTAAGATGATGTTTCAGGTTCATAATTAATTCTAGCACGTATGATGAGTACTTGGATATTAAAAAAAAATAAATTCACAATTAATTTTAACATGTAACAAAAGTGTTTAAATATATTTTCACAAAATCATGGTTCTACGTAACTCTCAATTATGCTTTTCAATTATATTTTTCAATTATGATTAAAATTAATTTTACTAGTCAATTTTATAAATTAATTATATACCATATAACATACTTAGTTATATTCAAAATCAACCATGTTAGTTAATTTTTACATGATCAATTTTTTCTAATAGAAATCCAAATGCGCCCTTTGTTATTGGAGTCTGATGCTTTTGCATGTATGATAAATGTTTGGATATTTGAACAACATAGTTTTGGATCAAAATTGATTTTAGTATGTATGACATGTGTTTAGACAATTTTTAAAAAACATTATTTTAGGTCCTTAATTAATTTTAACATGTAATGAAAGTGTTTAAATATATTTTTTTTTACAAAATTATGATTTTAATTTTTAAAATTGATTATAGAGGTTATCCAAGTATGCACTTGGTTATTTATATATTTCTTTAGATGTGTTTGGATTCCAATTAGATATAATTAATTATAAAAAAATTGATTAATATGATTGATTTGGAATATAATTAATTGTGTTATGATGTATATAATTGATTTATAAAATTGATTAATAATATTGATTCCAATTAGAATTGAAAAATAAAATTAAAAAGTAAGTAAAACTATGATTTTGTGAAAATATATCTAAACAGTTACATGTTAAAATTAATTATGAATTCAAAATTATATTTTTTTAAAAAATCTAAATACTTATTACACATGTTAAAATCAATTATGAGCCTAAAGTTATGGCTTTCTTAAAAAAATTAAATAATCCATACATACCAAAATTAATTATGAACCCAAACCTATAGTCATCTCATAAGTTACTACTACTTATTTTTCAATTCATATTTTTAATTATACTTTTTTAAAAAAATTATCTAGAAATTATATAAATCATTTTACAAATTATATTTTTGTGTTTATAATTGATTTTGACATATACATAAATATTTGAATATTTTAAAGCAAAACATGATTTTGATTTCAAAATTAATTTTGATATATATAATGGGTGTTTGTATATTTTTTCAAAAATATGATTTTAGGTAGATACTTGATCGATTTTAACATGTAATAAAGTTGTCAGGATATATTTTTACATAACCATAATTTTAACGTTTAAAATTAATTATTAATGAGATTATCCAAACAGGCACTTCTCCGACCCTGCCTTTGTTTTTGTTCTGTTTTTTTTTTTTTTTGGGTTCTTGTTTTTTGGTTTTTGAGAAAAAGGAGAATGGAGATACTCTTTATCTTTACTCAGAAGGGGTGCGAAAACAGCACCGGTGCACAAAATAAAGCACCAGGCCGCGGCAAACCCGACCGCCAAATTTTAATTTTACGTTGTCCCTATCCCAGCGAATTCCGGGAACCCTGACGCTAAGATCCGGCGGCGACCGGAAAATTTTACACTCTGCGGTACGTGCCGCTCTAAATGTTTAAGTTCACTTCAGTTTGATGATTAATGCCACTCTAAACAGCTGACCAGCCTTCAATTTTCTGTCGTCTTTTCTGAAAATGATGAACGATTACAGGATAATTTAGGGTTTCTGATATGCCTGTTAATTGTTTAGAATTATAAAGTGTCCTTTTTCACTTCAGAATTTTTTTTTTTTTTTGCAGATCATGAGCAGTCTGGCTGAGAGGCTTCGAGTAAGATCAGATCGCAAGCCTATTTATAGCATTGATGAATCAGATGATGAAGCTGATTTTGTGCCCGGAAAACACGAGCCAACCGAGGAAAAGTTTGAGAGGATAGTCAGAAGTGATACGGTATACTTATTGACTCTTTCCTTTTCATTTCAATGCTTCTCATTTAGGTCAGACTACTGTTAATTTGTTCACTGCTATCTAAAATGTTGCTTACTTCTTAGAATTATTGAAGTGCTCAGCGGGCGATTGAAAATCTACATTAGCGCAGAGAAATGCTTTTAACTCCCTATTTCATGTTGTTCCTGCACACTAAAATATTTAGCAAAACAGAGATGCTATTGATTAGAGATATAAATCTTGACTTTTTTTTTTTGATCGGTGAATATATGGCAGAGGATAACTGGATAAATCTTCTAAATTTTGGGATAGAATATCCCTGATACTGAAGATGCAGTATAACATATTTTTGCTTGAAATCTAGAATTTACCTGTTAAGAAACCACATGGAGGATTTTTTTTGTTTTTTTGTTTTAAATACGTACTAGGAATTTTATTTGTTATTATTCGTTCAATCATTCTTTCATACTCTGCTAATAGCTTGAGATTTTGTTATTGAGAGGATATCAGATTCTTCCTGACCAATCGATCAGGAGCTTGATTGTTGTTTCCCCTATTCTCCATCTTAAATTTTGCTTCAGCACTAGATATGGCAAGGCTTAATTGATACTTCAAAGGAAAGAACATTTTGGTGAAGCTAGCATGTTAGGGTTAATGAAACCATTTTTGAGCCTTTCCCGAATTTTCTGGGGGTGAAATTGTCCTTGACAATCCTCACAAAATTTAATAGCTGAAACACGCCACCATTTCTTTCACTCATAAACTTTCGGTGATTTTCGTTATTTATAGTAGCATCTTTTCATTTTTGGTGTTCTTGATTTGGATCAGTAAATGACTTTTCCTGCCTTGTTTTGATTCTTATGTCCCATAACTACAGAAAGAAAACTGTTGTCAAGCTTGTGGAGAAAATGGAAATCTTTTGAACTGTGATACATGCACTTATGCCTATCATCCTAGGTGTTTACTTCCACCACTTAGAGCTCCCATTCCAGACAATTGGAGATGCCCTGAATGTGTAAGCATTATTGTTTGGTATCCATACCAGCAGCATCCATAATATGCGCTCTACTTTGATGGAAGCCTAGAGATATAATGCTTGTTTGTGTGCAGGTTAGCCCACTTAATGATATTGATAAGATATTAGACTGTGAGATGCGCCCCACTGTAGCTGATGACACTGATGCCACAAAACTGGGGTCAAAACAAATTTTTGTCAAACAATATCTTGTTAAGTGGAAGGGGCTACCGTATCTCCATTGCACATGGTAAATTTCTTGGAGCTTATCGCCTTCAAGTTCCAGACAGCGTCTTGTGATTTGGCATTTTTGGAAATCTTTTGAGCTCCTCCAATGCTTGTTATATTTTGTGTCCTGTTTCTCACTCCCAGTCCAATTATTTTCTTCTCACTCCTAGTTCATAGTTTTGAGTTTATTTATATTTCTATTTTGCTTTAGAAGCCTGATTTTGAAAGGCATTTAATTTTCTCTGAATCTGTGTATCATTTTGGTACTGTATATTTACAAGCTGCAGTGCCTTTTAACTTAGGGTGCCAGAAAAGGAGTTTCTGAAAGCTTTCAAGACCCATCCTCGCCTAAAGACAAAAGTAAATAACTTCCATCGTCAAATGGCATCAGTTAATACTTCTGATGAAGACTTTGTTGCCATTCGACCTGAATGGACCACTATTGATCGAATTATTGCTTGCAGGTTCAATTTTTTAGAGTTCTATCTTCTCCCTTCCGCATACACAAAATAATGAGATGATTCTGTTTGTAACTCATGTTTCTTCTCCTCTACTGCATCGATACTTTTCTTATTTGTCACCTAGCCTTTCTTCCCTGCCCCTCTTTCCTCAAAACATTTGAAGGGCTGATGATGATAAGGAATATCTTATGCTCACGATTTGTTGTGATTTCTTCTTTATAAGAATTACCGAATGCTTATGTTTTCATCAAATGTTTTATTTAAATGTTTCAGGGGTGATGATGATAAGGAATATCTTGTGAAATGGAGAGAGCTTTCATATGATGAATGCTATTGGGAGTTTGAGTCCGATATTTCTGAGTTTCAGGCAGAAATTGAAAGATTCAACAGATTTCAGTCAAGGTCTAGGAAACTTGTTATTTCTAACAAGCAGAAAAGCAGTGTTAGAGATGGTGCAGAATTCCTGAAGCATCAGAAAGAATTTCATCAGTATGAACATAGCCCTGAATTTCTTTCCGGGGGTATACTATTATGACAAACCTCTCATGATAATGATGTGCTTGATAATTATTTTAGCATATTTGGAGTGTGGTGATCACATGATTTCCTTTTTCATGTGTATGTAGGTACATTACATCCATATCAGCTGGAAGGCTTAAACTTTTTACGTTTCTCATGGTCTAAGCAAACTCATGTTATACTTGCGGATGAAATGGGACTTGGTACTTAGTCTCTGTTTCTCTTTTGTCCACCTTTTTCTAGTTTCTCCTTTTATTGTCTCGCTGCCCCTTTAACCTGCATTTTTCAGCAGGATTTGCTATTGCACCTTAATGACTGAAATTTTTTACTGCAGGCAAAACCATACAAAGTATTGCTTTCTTGGCATCACTTTTTGAAGATAATATTTCCCCACATTTGGTGGTTGCTCCACTTTCAACACTGCGAAACTGGGAACGTGAATTTGCAACATGGGCACCACAAATGAATGTTGTATGTATATGGAATCTGAAAGCTATATTTTCACTGAGAAAACCTTTCTTTTCTTTTGATTGTATGCTTGTTTCTATAGGTTATGTATGTTGGATCTTCTCAAGCCCGTGCTGTTATACGAGAGCATGAATTTTACTTCCCAAAGAGCCAGAAGTTAAAAAAAAAGAAATATGGTCAAATAGTCAATGAAAGCAAGCAAGATAGGATTAAATTTGATGTCCTCTTGACATCATATGAGATGATCAACCTTGACACAGCTTCATTGAAACCTATAAAGTGGGAGTGCATGGTAACATTCTATTTGCCATTCTATTACTGGAACTGGAAAAATAATTTTCCACCGTGATTTACCTTCTGTTCTTATTTGTATTTTCTACATTCTGCTAATGTCCTGAAAACCTTATTGGCCTTTAGATAGTTGATGAAGGTCACCGTCTCAAAAATAAGGATTCAAAATTATTTTCTTCATTGAAGCAATATTCTAGCAGACATCGTGTGCTTTTGACCGGGACTCCTCTGCAGGTTTACATTAGACTCTGCCATTTCCCCATAGCTTGTTTAATGTACGATCGTGTCCTAATTTTCTAGCATCAATTAACTGACTTTTTGTTGTCTTCTTGGGATTGGGTCTGGAGTTTCACTGGAAAGGTTGTTCATGATTAAGATTAATATTTATTTATTTATTTATTTTTTTGGGTGTTTTTGGGTTGGGTCGTTTATGTTTTAGTCTTTTAGATGGTTGCTGAATTTGGATTGCCAAACTTTTTCTTAAAAGAACATTTTAGTCTCGAGACTTTTTGGTGGCAAAAGATGTTATATGTTAGTGATTATTCATACAAATACGTTAGTTAGGGGAACGTTTGTTTTTCTAAAAGTTATTTGGATGCATTGTCCCCAATGTAATGACGGCCATCAATACATGATTTATTTTTGAAAGTCTTTGCCAGTCTTGAACGAAATTTTGTTGCAATTTTGTAGATGAGTCTCTGTCAATAGATGCTGTTAACTTTTATTATCTTTCTTTATGTGTGCTTTTCTTTAGTTAGATGATTTAATGAATACTACTTATAATATGCACCTGTAATGATCTCACACGAGTTAATATTTTGTAATTGTTTGACTTAACCCTTCATGTAATGTAATGTTTGTTCAGACAATGGATGCTGGTGATTGTATACTCTTCATCCTGTATCCTTGTAATGGAACATTAAATTGGTTGGTCTACTTCCCATCAGCTTATGTTGATGAGTGTATATTAAGCTGTTTCTTGTGTCAAACGCTTAACTTCGGTTTAATTCTTAGTTAGCTACTCTACTTAAGTAACAAGTGTGGTGCGATGTTATCTTTTGAAATTGACTTGTGGCAGCTTTGCTTATACAGGTCACAACTGATCATGCTTAATAGTTAATTTGCATATATTGTTTTTACGTCTTGAAAATTGAAACAACTAATGGTTGTCTGGTGTATTTCAGAACAACTTGGATGAACTATTTATGCTTATGCACTTCCTTGATGCTGGGAAGGTTTGTATGACAATATTATTGTGAATAGATTGCGAGTTTTTGCTATTGAATCGACTCAAGAATGTCAAGAGAATCTTACAAACTTTTTATTTGGCTGCTTGTAGTTTGGAAGTTTAGAGGAATTTCAGGAAGAGTTCAAGGATATCAATCAAGAGGAGCAGATTTCAAGGCTTCACAAAATGTTGGCCCCCCATCTTCTTAGAAGTATACATCTTAAACTTTAAGAAATTTACATAGCTACATTTCATTTGCTTGTCTGGATTAATTTTAACGCTTGTACTGTTGCATTGGCTGGTAGAGATAGTAAATCTTTTAAAATGAAAATGCTTAGCATTGTTGGTTTTTTGACATAGCATGAAACCTTCATATTCATGACCATAAAGGTAAGCGTTCAATCATTGCCACCATTGTTCTCTAATTAAATAAATAATTCACCACAAGGTTTTATGGGGGGAGACTTTGTCCAGGCTTCATCCTTAAATGATGGCTTTCACATGAGGGGTTGGGTTAGAGATACTTAAAAAACTCTTTACCATGTCTTCTGCTGACAGCCTAACCTTTTATAATTGTAGATTTCTTTGTAGTTTGAGTTATTTTTTATGCTAGTTTTATGATTGGATTGTATATTACATTTGCCTGTTCACCTTGGTTGAATGATGGTGAACCTGATTTTCCTATTGGGGGTAACTCTCGTTTTTGAAACTTCTATGTTATATTTTTAAAGTTGTCAGATGTTTGAATATAGATAAACAAACCTTTCTATCACCACAAAAGAAGAGAGAGAGTATTTTCTTTTTTCTTGAAATTTCAGAGTGTTGAATTATTTTTAAAGTTTATGTTAGATTATCTGGTGGTTGGCTGTTTTGAGGTTCAGGGCTTTGATCACATGTCATTTCTCAAAATGTTAACCATCTGCTTGATTTGTGTATCCTCTAGTCATGTTCTTGTAGTATTCATTGTATCTGCAATTACTATGGATGGAATAGTCAAATCCTTGAAGATTACACAGGTTCTAGTGCATTGCATATATAGAATTATATTTCAAACATGAAAAAAGTATTTTGATGAGTTGTTGGAATGATCAGTGTTTGGACTTATCTGGCTAGGTTTTTTTAATGTAGAAGGCCTGCTCCGGAGGATGTATGCATTCTTCTCTAACCAAACAAACCACAAATGGCTTGTTTGGCAACTTGTTATTGGAATAGTTTTTTGTTCTTCAGAACCAAAAAAAAAAAATTTGTTTGGTAATGTGTTTTCAAAAAGTATTTTGGAGAACAAAAAAACAAAACATTGTTTTGGAGAATAGAAAAACAGAAACTTCTTTTAGTTGTTCTGGATAACAAGGGAAAATGAGAAAAACACATATTTTCTTTATTTTTTTTTGTTTTTAGAACATGTTCTATAAAACATCAGTTCTCAGAATAATAAAACAAAAGCAGTTTCAAACAGGGCCAAAGTCTCTCCTAACTGGTTGTTATATTGGTTTTTATTTACTAGAAAGAGAATTACTATTGTTTACAGGTTAAGAAATTCTCAAACCAGAAAGTACAAAAAGACCTAAAACAGTGCACATCAATACAAATAAAATCCCCCAAGAGCCTCAGAGAACAAAAGCTGTCCAATCTCTTTTTGTATAAGGAGTTCCCCTTGAAAATACACCATGTGCTTAGCACCAAATGGAAGCCATACACACAATTCTTTATAATAAAAATTTATGAAGATGATATGCACCTGAGGATTTTTTCATTCCTCTTGAACAAAAACCACAATCTCATAAACTGGACATTATATTGATTTTAAGCTGTTAATGGGCTGCTAGTTTTGTTTAGATTGCTGATGATTTGATGCAGAGTTAGTGTAGTCTGGCATTGATGGAAAGTGCTGAGGGATATCAACTGCTTCATTGGTTTGCAGTTCTTATTTTGAACTATGAAGTTGGTAGTTTGTTAATAAACAACTTGTATTGCTGAAACAGAATTTGAAATATTTGAGGTCAATGCAGGGGTCAAGAAAGACGTCATGAAGGAATTACCTCCCAAAAAGGAACTGATTTTACGTGTTGAATTAAGCAACAAACAGAAAGAATATTATAAGGCAATTTTGACCCGTAATTATCAGATATTAACTCGTCGTGGTGGAGCTCAGGTATATTCATGCTTTGATGGACTGAATCTTTGGGCATTCCATTTTTAATTTTATCTAGATTAGAAATAGAAATGTGAAAAAACAGTTCTAAGCTTAATCTACTGAATTGAATAGATTTCTTGTTTTAACCTTTGGGCATTCCATTTGTTTTGATCATTTTTAAATAGATTTCTCTTATCAATGTTGTTATGGAGTTGCGAAAGCTCTGTTGTCATCCTTACATGTTAGAAGGAGTTGAGCCAGATATCCAAGATGCAAAAGAATCTTACAAGTAAGCTCTTATTCATCTCTGAGAGTGCCATGCCATTGTGAGTGTCTGTTAGAAATCTGGGTGCGTTGCTTGTGTGGTGGTTTATATTGTAGCTGTTCCTATATGCTGCTGGGTATTGTTATGTATAAGTAATTTGACATAATCTGTGCTTTTAATTTCTTTCACTAATTACAGAAAACTGCTGGAATCATCTGGGAAGTTGCAATTGTTAGACAAAATGATGGTGAAGCTTAAAGAGCAAGGGCATAGAGTCCTCATATATTCACAATTCCAGCACATGCTGGACTTGCTTGAAGATTATTGTTCTTACAAGGTATCCGTGTGAGTTTATTCTTTTTAAATATGCTATTTTGCTTGTGATCTGTGCGAAATTGCTGTATGATATTCTTTCATTTTTCATTGTTCTTATCAGAGTTGGCAGTATGAAAGGATAGATGGCAAGGTTGGTGGAGCTGAAAGACAAGTACGAATAGATCGGTTTAATGCCAAACATTCTTCAAGATTTTGTTTTCTTCTTTCTACTAGAGCAGGGGGATTGGGGATAAACCTTGCAACAGCTGACACAGTTATTATATACGATAGGTGAATCTTCAATGCTAGTAATTTTCTTTTTCTGGTAAAATAATACTTCATATGAAAATATCTATTGACAACAACGTTGACCATGTAAAAAGTTTCCCTGTATAAAGTTGGTTTATTACTTGTGATTTCAGTATTTCTTTTAGGCTAAAAGAAGAATTTTATTGAAAGAAGAAAGATGTAAAGGAGGGTTAAGAAATCCATGACCATTAGCTGAACATCACAAGGAACCTGCAAACGAAATCTTTTTCTATTGGTCTGAATGAGACACCACTGAATGGATTCAGAAAGCAGGGGGGGTCCTGGGACTAGAGAAACCTTATTGCCATTTGACTGTGCATGGGGAATATAGCAACTTTCTGATTAGGCACGTAAAGTTGGGTGGCGCAAATTTTCACCCAGCATATTACAAATGATTTCGAAAAGATGTTATCAAATTAATTTCTAGAGACCAGTAAAAAGATTTCCAGGAAAGAAGCATGAAGCTTTTGTGTGGGAGAACTTTTTTCTGCTATCAAATTTTTGTTTGCAGGAGAGGAAACTCTTGTGAGTGATGTTTGAATGCTTATAGTGTGTGTGGTTTTGCAGCCTTGTGATGATGGTAGACAAATATTGTTTGTGATATTTGTTGTCCAATGTGATTTAATATATCTATAATTCATTGATCAAATTGTTACTCTATAGTGATTGGAACCCTCATGCTGATCTACAAGCTATGGCTAGGGCTCATCGACTTGGACAAACTAGTAAGGTTGGAGTTTATTTTTCAATTAATTTGTAGCTGTCTATCATTATTGATGTTGCATAAACCCATGGCTCTGGTTTTGTAGGTAATGATTTATAGGCTTGTAACGCGGGGAAGCATTGAAGAAAGAATGATGCAGATGACTAAGAAGAAAATGGTGCTAGAACATCTTGTTGTAGGAAGGCTAAAATCTCAAAATATTAACCAGGTAATTAGTTCTTCTTTCTTTTTGGCATCAAGGATTAGGCTAAGCTGATGCCAACAGTTATCAGTACTATTGGCAAAGCTACATTTATGTAAATCTGATTGACAAGTTACCTTCACGCCTTCCCTGTTCTTTGAAAGAATTTGCTTCTCATGATGTAATATGAGTATTTATGTGGTCTGAATTTTAAAGGATATTTTCTTGTATCTTGTGTTGTGATATAGATAGTGTTTTCCTAGAGATTTAGTGAGGGGGAGGGAGGACAGAGAGCCTAAAACAGGAGAGTTTTTTCCCCCTCGTTTCTGTCGGTGAATTTCTTGTAAGATTTTGGCCAAAAGTTCTATTGAAATGAGAAGGTACTAGATTTGATGATGAGGTATATCCTTGAAAAAGACAAGGTATCACGAGTGGAGGAAATGAGATATCAATGAAGTAAAGCATTCCATATTTCCTTACATCTGCATATCAGTCAAAGCCAGGCAGGATCAGAGGTTTCTCTTGGAAAATTCTGGCGTGACTCATCCCAATTCACCAAACTACTGGATGAAACTCTTATTCTGGAATTAAATAACCAACTTTTTTGAAAAACACTTTTCAAAGGGTAACCAAATCAGGTTTTTACATGGTCCCAATCTTAAGGCTATCCATTAGGGTTTCAATCCTTACCCTGCCTGGCTGCCCCTGAAACAAATTAATAATTGTGTCAATCGTGAATACCTGCATATTGATTGATTCTGGAATATGTAACATCGCTACTTTCAACATACTGATTTTTGAATCTTGATTGGGACATTTTAAGTTTCAAACAATCAATCAGATCAGATTTTAATCAGAAAAGTTTTAGAAGATCTGATGGTAACTATCATTTTAATTGCTCTTAGGAGGAGTTGGATGATATTATAAGGTATGGCTCTGAGGAGTTATTTGCTGATGAGAATGATGAAGCAGGGAAATCACGCCAAATTCATTATGATGATGCTGCCATAGATAGGTATCATGCACTTGCGTCCCTCAAACATGAAATTTTTACAATACGTATTAGTATAATTTATCTTGTACTTTTCTCATTAATAGATTGCTGGATCGTGAACAAGTCGGTAATGAAGAGACTGCAATGGATGATGAGGAGGATGGATTTCTCAAGGCTTTTAAGGTTGACTCTCAAACGGTTATGCATGTGCATTTTTTGTTCAGATTTTCACCCTCCATTTTGGTTGGTGGTGAGTGGATGTGTACTTTACGAAGAAATATTTAATAGACATATGAACAGACAAATGCTAATAAATAAAAAGGAAAGAAGGGTATTTGGTGGCATGGTAGTTGATCAGTCTTATGAACTAGAATGGACTGTGCATGTATTCTAATCTAGTTTGAATAACTTTGCTGTCACTTTTGCTATCTTATTGTAAATATTTGTTTTGAATCAATTTCATATGCTGCCAAAGCATTATGCTTGTTAACAACTACTCACATTTGTGGAGCTTCACAGTGACTAAGTATGTAGTCCTTCCACTTCAATCTCCATTAAGCAGCCTGTATTGATTGTGAGGTTGTTGTGGATTTTCTTTTTCTGTCTTTTCAACCTAAAAGATAAAATCCAATCACGAGCCTTTACACAATGACTTGAATTGGTCCTTGACATGGTATTAGTCTATTAGAGTCTCTATGAGCATGTGATGAAGTCCCACCCTTGCTGCCCTACACCCCATAGCATAAATAACATACGATATTTGCACCACATGGATCAATTATTTTAACCACAAAATGAATTTGACATTCAACCTTGGTTTAAAGTTGACGGTAAAACTTTGTAGTTAGGATCCTGGAGAAATCTGTTTGAGTGGCTTTTGCCCAAGAATTCTTGTGGCTGGAGTAATTTTAATGTTGATGAAATTTCCCCTTTTCAATACCAATTTCCCTATAAGCTATTGTTGTTTTGAATTTTCTCTTTTCTCATTGTTTTTCATTGACTAATCAAACAGTGTATGTTTTAGGTGGCAAATTTTGAATATGTTGATGAAGTTGAGGCTGCAGCAGAGGAGGCAGCAAAAAAGAGAGCTATGGACAATGAATCTGCTTTGGCAAGTACAGAGAGAGCAAAATACTGGGAGGAATTGTTAGGAGATAGATATGAAATGCATAAAGTTCATGAGTTGGATGCCTTGGGCAAAGGGAAACGGAGTCGTCACAAGCAGGTATGCACTTGTGTTAAGTGCCACACACTTTAATCAGTTTGCAAAGAATGAATTTTATTTGTTGCCTACAATGAGTTTGTGTTGTTCTGATGTGACTGTGAGATATGGTCAGACTTATAAGAGGAGATCAAGGGGGCAGTTGGGTGTAGAAAGGAAATACCCATTGGGTTAGGATTAATATCCTGAGGGTCCAGAAAAGAAGGATTATGCCATGATGTTTTGGTAGGGTGGCTTAGATTTAGTCTCGATATTGAAGTCACCTTTTTGCTTGCTTTATTTGGCTGTGTTATTTTTGTTGGCACTCAAGGATGTTTTAGAGAAGTTAGGCAGAAGTGAGGAGAGTGCTGGTCTCTCGAACACCAGTGAGAGACCTTTTCTTGTTGCTGTGTTCTTCCATTTAGTTTGTAATTTCAGTTGTTGGGAATAGGGTTTTGGCTAGAATCAGTGAGTTTCTCTTGTAACACTGATTCAGTTGATATGCATTAATATCAAAAACCTCAGAATTTCCCTCATTTATTTCTCTTTGCATTGAAAGCTTAGTTCTATTAGTTACTTTAGAGCAGAGCTCTAACAATTGGCATCAGAGCCGTGCAATCCTCGGACCTTTTGATAAGCGCAAGAGAGATGGCCGAAAGAGTGCAGTACTCCAATCCTGAGGTACAAGAGTTGAAAGAATCTGTTGGAGGACTATCGAAAGAAATGATCATGATGAAGGAGATGATGCAGACGATGCAAGATAAATTAGAGCAAATAGCAGAGAAACAGAAAAGTGCAGACCAACCTCCCGAACAAGATCAACCTAGCCATGAAGAGACTACAGGAAGCACCGGAGATCATGAAAAAGAAGTAGGGAAGTACAGGAAGCTGGAGTTACCAATATTTGATGGAGAAGACCCTATCGGGTGGCTTTTCAGAGTGGAAAGGTATTTTTGAATCAATGCTGTGGCTGAAATGGAGAGACTGAAAGCAGCCATCGTGTGCCTCGAAGGTAAGGCTCTTAACTGGTATCAATGGGTGGAAACTCGAGCACCTATCCGAGAATGGTCAGAGTTCAAGCAAGAACTTCTGCGTCGATTCCATCCCTCACAGCTTGGGGATGAATATGAGATGATGTTTGCAGTCAAACAGGAGCGTTCTGTGCGCGAGTATGTGGAGGAGTTCGAACGCGTATCAGCTATGGTGGGAGACGCATCAGAATCGTGTGTGGTTGGAGCATTTCGTGTAGGACTAAAACCAGAGATAAGGGCTGAATTAAAGCTCACGGCCGCCAGCACCCTTAGAGAAATTATGGAGATGTCTATTAGGGTGGATGAGAGGAATCAGGTAATAGAGAAGGCCAAAGACTCACGGTTTCTGCGAGGCCAGCATTTTCAAAGTGGGCTTAAAAATGAATCAGCCCAAACTCCTTTCACACGGATCACTCATGTGGCTGAGCCCAGTAAAAGCATGCACGTCTCTTCAATACACTCGGGACTCCAGAAACGGGCTGAGACAAAAACGGCAGACTCAAAAGTAGCGAGTAACACGACAGGAACAGCGTCGTCGTGTCCAGGAGGACGAACCCAGCGACTGTCAGACGTGGAATTAACTCGTCGGCGAGAGCTTGGTTTGTGTTTCAAATGTGCAGATAAATTCGGACCTAATCACATCTGCAAAAATAAAAATCTGCAAGTGATGTTGCTGGAGCTAGAACCCGAGAAGGGAACCGAAGGCCATGAACCAATATGCACTGAAGATAGTGAAGAAGCCGAAGAAGATGAAACTCGAATGGAGTTATCACTAAACTCCATAGTTGGGTTTGGAGGGAATCACACTATGAAGGTACGTGGGAGACTAGAGAAAGCCGAGATTGTGATTTTGATTGATAGTGGGACTACCCACAACTTCATAGCTGAGGAATTAGTCACCAAAATAAAAATTCCAGTGGAGGACATTGCCGTCTATTCTATCATTGTTGGGGATGGGTTTAGTATTAAAGGGAAGCAACGCTGCAATGACCTCAAGTTACAGGTACAAGGCCTGGACATTATTCAAACTTTCTACCCCTTTCCACTCAGTGGCGTGGATGTTGTACTAGGAGTGGAATGGTTAAAATCTTTAGGAGAAGTGAAGGTTAACTGGGGGCAACTGACCATGAAGATTGGTAAGAAAGGAAACAAGGTGTGTTTACAAGGTGATCCCGCTCTAACCAAGGCCTTGGTTTCCCTTAAGTCATTTATTCGATCCGTACAGAAGAGAGGGGAGGGGTACATGGTCGAATATAATGGGATGAATAATGAAGAAACAACAGCTGAAACTATACAATTGGCGCCTGAAATTCAGAACCTCCTGGACCAATTCTCTATAGTTTGTCGACCTTTTGAAGGGTTACCACCAACTCGTTCTCATGATCATGCAATAGCAACCAAACCAGGCGAACAACCTCCTAACATATGGCCGTATCGGTACCTTCATGTTCAAAAAAATGAAATTGAGAGGATGGTGAAAGATATGTTGAGAGCAGGTATCATTCAGCCCAGTCAAAGTCCTTATTCAAGTCCAGTTTTGTTGGTTAAAAAAAAAGATGGAAGCTGGAGATTCTGTGTGGACTATAGAGCCTTGAACAAAATCACGGTGCCTGACAAGTTTCCCATACCAGCTATAGATGAGTTGTTGGATGAGTTAAAAGGAGCCGCCATCTTCACCAAGCTGGATTTGAAGTCCGGATACCATCAGATCAGAATCATGGCTGGAGATGAACATAAAACAGCATTTAGAACCCACGAGGGACATTATGAATTCAAGGTAATGCCCTTTGGTTTAACCAATGCTCCTTCCACATTCCAATATTTAATGAATGAGATATTCCGAGAGCATCTTCGGAAATTTGTGCTTGTATTTTTTGATGACATACTTATTTAGAGCCATGATTTATCATCTCACTTGAAACATTTGAAAGCTGTTTTGTCTATCCTGAAAGAGAACCAGCTAGTGATCAACCTTAAGAAGTGCACTTTCGCCCAACCAAAAATTGAATATCTTGGGCATATCAATTCCAAGGAGGGAGTGCAAGCGGATCCCAGCAAAATTGAGAGTATGGTGCAGTGGCCTAAACCCAATAATGTGAAATCCTTAAGAGGGTTCCTAGGGTTGACAGGGTATTATAGAAGATTTGTCAAGAATTATGGAAAAATCGCTAGTCCTCTCACCGATTTACTTAAGAAAGATGCCTTTAAATGGACCCCAAAAACTGAAGAAGCCTTCCAAAGTCTCAAGACAGCCATGACTTCTCTCCCAGTACTAGCTATGCCTGATTTTTCCATCCCGTTTGAGTTGGAAACAGACGCTTCCGGGTCTGGAATAGGAGCAGTGCTGATGCAGAATGGCCGTCCAGTGGCATATTTCAGCCAAAAGCTCTGTAACCGCGCTCAACAATGTTCCATTTTTGAGAGGGAACTTATGGCAATTGTTATGGCGGTCAAGAAATGGCGACACTACTTATGGGGGGAGAAATTTGTCATCCGGACAGATCAGAAAGCTTTGAAGTTTCTGCTGGAACACAGAATTGTAGAAGAAAGTCAACAGCACTGGATCACTAAATTAATGGGGTTCAAGTTTGAAATAGCTTACAAACCGGGCAAGGAAAATCGTGCAGCGGATGCACTTTCAAGGAAAGAAGAAAATCTGGAGATACATGGTTTTTCTTTATGGCAGCAAGGTGACCTTGAAGAATGGGAGAAAGAAGTACATGCTGATCCTAAGCTAAATGATATACTGCAAAAAGTCATTACCAAGCAAGGAAATTTGGAGGGATACAGCCTTGTGAAGGGTTGTCTACACTATAAAGGACGATTGATGCTACCAAAGAAGTCTACCAGAATTCAATTGCTCATGAAGGAATTTCATGATTCACCAACCGGAGGCCATTCGGGTTATTTGCGCACTTACAAGAGGCTTTCTACTGTTGTATATTGGGAAGGCATGAAAAAAGATATCCAACAATATGTGTCACAATGCGACGTGTGCCAAAAGAACAAATATCAAGCATTAACTCCAGCTGGGCTGTTACAACCCTTGCCGATTCCTCAACAAATTTGGGAAGATATTAGCATGGATTTCATTACAGGACTTCCAAAATCCAAAAGACATGACGTCATACTTGTTGTTGTTGATAGGTTGACAAAATATGCCCACTTCTTGGCTTTGACCCACCCATTTACAGCAAAAGAAGTTGCTGAAAGATTCATTAATGACATTGTTAAATTGCATGGGTTTCCAAAAACAATTGTGTCAGATAGGGATAGGGTGTTTGTAAGTCAGTTTTGGAAGGAATTATTTAAGCAAGCAGGCACTCAGCTTTGTCTTAGCTCTGCTTACCACCCGGAATCTGATGGCCAAACCGAAGTCTTGAACAGGAGCTTAGAAACTTACCTGCGTTGTTTCACCAGTGAGAAACCAACCCAATGGGCGCAATGGTTACCTTGGGCTGAATATTGGTACAACACAACTCATCATGGGGCTGCTGGAATGACACCCTTTAAGGCGGTGTACGGACGGGACCCTCCTACTTTTTTTAAGCTGAATGGGGAACCGTCAGGCATTGAAGCTGTCAATGAACAGATTCAGTCCCGGAATTCCATTATTGCCATTTTAAAGGAAAACCTCACTGTGGCGCAAGAAAGAATGAAGAAGCAAGCTGACAAACATAGGCGAGAGATACAGCTGGACATTGGAGATTTAGTCTATGTCAAAATCAGACCCTACAAGCTGAAATCTTTAGCTAAAAGACTTAATGAGAAACTCAGCCCTCGTTTCTATGGCCCCTTCAAGATCATAGAGCAGATTGGACAGGTCGCATACAAGCTGGAACTTCCTTCCATAGCTCGCATTCACCCAGTCTTTCACATTTCTCAACTCAAAAAATCAGTTTGTTCAGCTATTGTCACTCCTACTATACCACCAGCACTTTCTGCAGAATTGGAGCTACAGGTACAGCCTCAAGACATATGCAAGGTTCGGAAACTTATGACAGGCCAGCTGGAGGTTTTAGTGAAATGGAGAGATTTACCCGAGTTTGAGAATTCATGGGAGACAGCTGACACCATTTCTCTCCAATTTCCAGATTTTCCCCTTGAGGACAAGGTGAGACTCTTAGAGGCGGGAAATGATGTGACCGTGAGATATGGTCAGACTTACAAGAGGAGATCAAGGGGGCAGTTGGGTGTAGAAAGGAAATACCTATTGGGTTAGGATTAATATCCTGAGGGTCCAGAAAAGAAGGATTATGCCATGATGTTTTGGTAGGGTGGCTTAGATTTAGTCTCGATATTGAAGTCACCTTTTTGCTTGCTTTATTTGGCTGTATTATTTTTGTTGGCACTCAAGGATGTTTTAGAGAAGTTAGGCAGAAGTGAGGAGAGTGCTGGTCTCTCGAACACCAGTGAGAGACCTTTTCTTGTTGCTGTGTTCTTCCATTTAGTTTGTAATTTCAGTTGTTGGGAATAGGGTTTTGGCTAGAATCAGTGAGTTTCTCTTGTAACACTGATTCAGTTGATATGCATTAATATCAAAAACCTCAGAATTTCCCTCATTTATTTCTCTTTGCATTGAAAGCTTGGTTCTATTAGTTACTTTAGAGCAGAGCTCTAACATGTTCATTTTTGCAAAGGTAGTATCTGTAATTCTTCAACTTTTCAGATGGTCTCCGTTGAGGATGATGATCTTGCTGGTCTGGAAGATGTAAGCTCTGATGGTGATGACAATGTTGATGCGGAGCTTACTGATGCTGATTCAAATTCTTATGGAACTATTTCTAAAAGACCTTATAAGAAGAGAGCCCGTGGTATATTATTATTTAATTTTATTCTTGTAATGATACTGATGTTGATCTCGTCTTGACTGTGGTGTCACCTTTCTCCTAAATTCTTTACCAGCAGATAGCACAGAGCCGCATCCTCTGATGGAAGGTGAAGGAAAATCATTTCGAGTGCTTGGTTTTAATCAGAATCAGAGAGCTGCATTTGTGCAAATTCTGATGAGGTTATATTTTATTTGCTTCTTTTTTATTATCTCTGATCTCTTACTTTTAGAATATGTATTTAGGAAAGAGCTTTGGCATGCTTATTTCTGCAGTTAATCTCACTTTATGAGTCTATTATAGGTTTGGGATGGGCGATTATGATTGGAAGGAGTTCACTTCCCGAATGAAACAGAAGACTTATGAAGAAATCAAAGAGTAATATGACTTTTTCCTTGTTTTATTACCATATTTGGGATGTTTCATGTCATAAATTAGCTTTTGTAATTTATATCAATACTTTTGTTGTTTCTGCAAGAAATGGAAGCCTTTTATTTTAGCACTTTTGTTTTCAAAAAAAGGCAGGAACTAGATGACATTTGTTTTCATATATGCTTGATAAAGTATAGAAACATAGTAGCAGTTTGGAGTTCTCATTGTTGTGGGCAGGATGGCATACTGATCAGAACATTTTTTGGATTTTTTGATTTTTGATAGGCCTTGTGTATACGTACATATCATTCCTGTCTTGTATGTGCTCATTCTCAAGACAAAAAATGTTTACTAGTTTCTGTACGCAGCTAAACTGCTTATGAGGATATTTTGCTATCATTTTGGAGAGCCGTTGTTTTGATTGTTTGGCCTTCTGAATATTTGCTTAAAGCTGCAAGTAAAATGATATTATTCCTTGTTTGAAAAAAATTCTGTGCCCTTAGGGTGCTAGACCTTTGACATGTTTTGTGCAAGAGCCATTGGAAGACGCACCCTCTAGTGAAGTGAGGTATGAAAATAGGAAAATCTAAATATCTGCCATATAAACAAAGCTAAATAAACGTAAATTTTGAACATTTGGTACATAAATTAACTATTCAAATATAAGTCCTACATTGAAGTATAAAGAAGTTAACATACAACCCAAAAGATGCAGTAGCAATGGCAGCCAAGCATTAACATGATAATATTATTCTTTTTTAAATGAGAATAACTATTTTACCTTATTCGTAGACCTCTAAGATGGGATGGGTTTTGTAGTTTCCTATTTTACCCGGTCACTGCTGTTAAAATTTCTGGGCTTCTATGCTGCCTGTTCTCATTCAGCCTCCAAATACTTAGACACATAAGGCTCTTGCCTTGACATAGAAGCTAAAGGTGAGAAAGGTACTGCCAAGCAAGTGCCTGGACGAAGCCAATGCCTCTCACCACTTGAAAGGCGTTGGAATTCTTCAATTGCCTCATCATGCCTTTAATATTTTTAGCTACTCCTCCTCTTGTCCTTTAATAGAGTAGTAAGAGAAGAAAAAATTTTCCTATTTATAGGGCACTTGCCAATTTTTAATGCTTTATATTTTTGCCCTTATTAAATGCTTTGAATAAAAATATTAGGAATGAGATTTAAGAACATTTATTAAAGGTAAATGTGAAAATTTGTTAAAATTTAATATAAAGTTAATGGGATTTAAGATTTTCCTTGGTTTTAGTGAAATATGCTAGAAGTGACTTATAAATAGAACCAGAGGGAGTAATCGTTTAGAGAAACCATTTCTTTTTTGCTGATTTTCTTGCCCGCACTTGTTTCAAGAAGAGGGGTGAATATTTCATCATCTACAAAAGTGGAGCTTTAAGGTTACAGATTGATGTTCTTTTAGTGAGGAACACAGAAAGAAGACTTTGTAAAAATTTTAAAGTGATTTTTGGGGATATTGTAACAACACAATATCGGGTCCTTGTCTTTGACGTGCGTATTACGAATGAAAATCAAAAGCGTCAACAAGTGGTAACTCCAAGGATTAGGTGGTGGCAGTTAAAAGGTGAGGAGGAATTTTCAAGCAAAATCTTTTGGCTAAAGGAATTTAGGAGTCCCAGGAAAGTGCTGGTATCATGTGGGAGGATATGGCTAAGAAGGGGAGGAAGGTTGCTAAAGAAGTTTTGGGAGAATCAAAGGTTTGGTCTGAGAGATAAGAAATCCTTGTGGTGGAATGATAGTGCATATGAAAAAGTCAAACATAAGAAGAAGTGTTTTAAAGCCATCCATTTGTGCAATAATGATGAAAATTGAAAAAAAAAATCATATGGTTAAGAAGGTAACTTAAAGTTGTGATTGAAACTCGTTCTAAAGCATTTGAAGAGTTTCACAATAATTTTAGAGTAAAGGATGGAGAACAAAAAATTTATAAGATTGCTAAGAGTGGAGAAAGAAAATTAGATATTTAGAACATGTAGGGTGCATTAGGATGAAGAGGGAGAGTTTTTGGTCACAGATGATGCTGCTAAAGATAGATAGGTGTCCTACTTTTCCAAACTTTTCAATGGTTAAAGGGTTTATCTAGTAATTTATAGGATTTAGTAATTCATAAAGGAGAATAAATTTGTCATTATATCAAAAGATACGTGATAGTGATTGTGTAAAGGAAGTTCTTAAGAAAATGGCAAATGGTTAGAGTCAATGAACTTGATTGTATCTCTATTGAAGTGTGAAATGTTTATATGGAGAAGGGTTGCGGTGGGCTAACTAAGTTATTTAATGTAATTTTACGGTCTAAGAAAATGTTGGAGGAGAAGCACCTTAGTTTCTATTTACAAAAAATAAAGGAGATATTTAGAATTATGCTAATTATAGAGGGATTAAAATTTGGGAAAGAGTGATTAATCATATGTTGAGATTGGAGACTTGTATTTTTGATAATCAATTTGGCTTTAAGCTAGGTAGGGTGACTACAAAAGCGATTTATTTATTAAGGGGATTAATAAAAAAGTATCGATGCAAAGGTAAAGATTTACACATAGTATTTATTGATTTGAAAAAAAGCTTGTGAATGTGAAATGAGAGAAGTACTTTTGGAAATTTTTGGAAAAGAAGAGAGTTCAGGTTGCTTATATTAGAGTTATACAAGATATGTATGAAGGGGCAACTAGTATAAGAACATTTGATGGTGAAACAAATGACTTTTCTATAAGAATTGCACTACATCAGGGATCATCTTTTAGTCCTCATTTGTTTGATTTAGTCCTAAATGTTTGACTGAGCATAGTCAAGAGGAAATCC